GTTATTTATTGTTATTGTTTTAGTTTTAGAGAAAATGTTCGATGCTAAAGAAAAAGGTATACTGATTTTTCCACGAAGATTGACCTGACGGAAAGTTTGCAAATAACTTATCAAGAAAAATCTATCAAGCAGTGCTCACTAACAGGCATATATAATTAACACCCAGATATATTCAGTTTGAGCATGGAAAATCAAACCTACTTACAAATTAAGATTGATGAGATAAATACAAGGTATGGGCCACTGAATGAGGCAGTAGAGCTTGCGAACTGATTTTTCATATGAGGACATTATCAGAGACTGCCTTCACTAACATTAACTGGGCAACAAATCCGTCCACACTACACCGGAGGATTTTGAAAACGGTGTTTTAACCGTAAAGAAGAATTAAATGCTTTCCGTGCACATTAACCTGGAGAAACCTGAAAAAGGTAATAATTACCGGTCAGAATTTTATTTGAGTTATTCGAACTAATATTTCCTTTTTTCGCGCAACCCTCGCAGTTACGTAACACGTTGTCCTAGATATATCAAACGATATCTGCGCCCTCAAAGGAGAAGAATTGTGATGGGAACTTAGCCCTGCATTACCCCTTTAGCCCTGCATGAACCTGAGTTGCAAGCTGATTCCAGTCCAATACCAAGAATACGAATAAAGCCTAATGGCAAAATGTTTGGCTCTTTAGGTGTAATATTCCAGGAGAAATTGGCTTTCAAAAAGTGCAAAATGTCCGGATGGCAAAAGCGTTAATAGGCCCATAGATTCTATGTAAACTTTTGCAAAGTATAAAAAATATTACTTTCCCCTGGATTGGATACCAGTCCATTTAATACACCTGATTGGATTGAGGCACTGTGAGGGTAGAGTGTCTGGTCCAGGAACAAAGCACAATGTCCTCAGCCAGGGCTCGAACCAGGACCGCTCGATCCGGAGTCTAGCACGTTAACCATGAGGTAATCGCNCCTGCATGAACCTGAGTTGCAAGCTGATTCCAGTCCAATACCAAGAATACGAATAAAGCCTAATGGCAAAATGTTTGGCTCTTTAGGTGTAATATTCCAGGAGAAATTGGCTTTCAAAAAAAGTGCAAAATGTCCGGATGGCAAAAGCGCTAATAGGCCCATAGATTCTATGTAAAATTTTGCAAAGTATAAAAAATATTACTTTCCCCTGGATTGGATACCAGCCCATTTAATACACCTGATTGGATTGAGGTACTGTGAGGGTAGAGTGTCTGGTCCAGGAACAAAGCACAATGTCCTCGGCCAGGGCTCGAACCAGGACCGCTCGATCCGGAGTCTAGCACGTTAACCATGAGGTAATCGCGCCCCCACATTTGTTGTTCGTAATCTGTATTAATCTTTCTGAGTCGTGGCCATGTCCTTGTTTATTTTTGTTTGTTTATTGCAACTTTGGTGTTTATCTTCCTTAAAAACTATCATTAACATTTTGATTTAAGATTTAAGGTGGCTCTGATCTGCTCTGAACCTTACCTACAGAATGTGTTTTAAACTTTGCTAAGCGTTGTGTCATAACATGCTGATCACATTTCTCACAATTCCATGATATAATAAAGAGCCTTTTTTGAATTACAAGCACTTAAAACTAAAATTAAAGTTGTTTTGTTGCTATGGTAATAGAAGTGTAAATCCCATAAAGATGACCACAACATGTTTAACCATGATTGACAATGTGGATGATCTCAATGTTTTTAACATCAAAAGTCATTTAAGTGTGGATCTGTCAAAGTATAGTGCTGGAAACGGTTACCGGCCACCGTAAAACTAAATTTTAACCAGCCTCGTTCCCAGAGCCTTTTCCTTGAAATTTTGAAGAAAACATTTCAAGGGAAAAGGCCTGGCAACGAGGTTGAATGTGAACAAACAAACAGTTTTCAAAGGTAGATTAATTGCAATTTTCATCGTCTTCGTTTACGTCTGATACACATCTTATTCCAAAATGGCGGCCAATTTATTATTCTTTTGTTTGCATGTTAATTAGCCCTCTTTGCCTCATTTTCACGTCAAAATTCTTTTGAGGCAAAGAGGGCTAATTACCCTGTAAACAAAAGAATAATAAACTGGCTGCCATTTTGGAATAAGGTGTATAAGACTGTTAGATAATCGATGCAGTTTTGCTTCCTCCGCCCACGTCGGCCCGGTTTGTTTCTGTTCAGCTCTAGTTTTATGCAAATGTAAAAATACACCTGAATAAATATCTAAAGCTTAGGCTTCGAGCAGTAAAATGAACCCTAAGAAAACTTGTAAAAGGAAGCTTTCAGGAGATAGATACCTGACACTTTTTTTATTAAGTTTTCCTCTACTTTTAACTTATCTTTACTTATATTTTCCATTGTCTTATCTTGACTAGTCAAAAAGGTGATTGCTTTTCTTTTTTAATTCTCTAATGATCTCAAGGCTATTTGCAATGTTTATAAAATCCATCCTTCAAAGGGTAAATAGAGACGATTAGAAGTTTTTCAAACGCTGCGAATGCATTATCAGTGCTATACATGTCTCACCTGCCACATATTATCTTTTGTTCTCACATGAATAGTTGACATGTCGGCGTGTTTTGCGTTGAATAATTGTTCATAATTTACATTAGACTCAAAAGAACAGCATCATGTTGGGTAAGTTTACGACAGAGAAAAAAACCGTAATGCTTGGTCAATTTTTGGCAGACAAAAACACTGTTTGATCACGCTAAGAGGATGAAAACCTGGCTTTCTTGTAATTTAATTATTTTATTTTTCGTTGTTTTTCCTTCACAGTTATTTAATTTCATTTACATATGACTGACACCCTCGCTCTCCCTGACAAAAAAAAATATATATATAATCTAAACTAAAAACAAATATTCCAATCATTATTGATCGACGGAGTTTAATATTTTCCATTAAGAAGTCGAAAAGTGTCTTTTGATAGTTTTCACCACGACGCCGTTTTAATGATTGTTCATGCACACAAAGGTTAAGACGAATAAATTTCCCTGAAAGTTCTTTAAAGTTTTTGTCACCAACTCCTGATTTAAAACCGTTTCATGAGTCGATATCCAAATTGTCATAACTGCTCTCCATACATTTCTTGGAGTACCACCTGAAAAAATAATCTTTTGGAGAACTTTTCTTGTACTTCATAAAGCGCCATGTGGAGTTGCCGAGTTGAATTGGATGCAAAATGCGATTTAAGACTAGGGTGAAATGAGGAATAACGTTCGCTTTCCGTTCAACCAAAAGTTCCGGTTTGATTTGCCGGAA